TCTAATTAATTTTTGTCTTTCTCGGTAGCTTTCTACATTATCAGATTAAGCAAAACATGTTTTTAGAAGTCCATCTCTTCAAAATAACAATTGATTCCATTCGGTGTCATTTGGCATAATGCCGTATCTCTTGGCCACCTCCTGATAGTAGAAAATTAGTATAATCAATAATTTTCTCTTGTTCATTCCCCCTTCAGTGGGTCGTAAAATTCTATTTCCACAAAGGTATCTTAGTTCCAATGTCAGTATTTACTATAGATTAAATATACATCAAACGACATAGCAGCAGTACTATACATTACGAATATTAATTTGGCATCATTGGCGTCAATAATAATGTGATTTTTTGCTTTTTTTTCTAGATGAAGAAGCACCTTTTATCCTTAAATTTATCTTTATACTTCAAAACTTATTTTCCATTTCAATTTGTATCTATTACTAAAATCAATTTAGCATCATTGGCGTCAATAGCAATACGACGATTTTTTCCGGTTTCTATAGGCGAATAAGCATTTTTTATCCATTAATTTAGCCTTTTATATTTCATATTTAGCCTATATTTTAATTAATGCCAATTGGTGAACTTAGTTAATTGCAATTCTCGAAAATTATTAGTAACTAAACAAATATTTTTATAGGCTTTTGTCGCGAACAATCTAATATCAGTACTTATTTCGAAGCGAGAAAGAAACAGCCAAACTAAAATTGATGTGTGTAATGCTTAGTTAAATGTAGTATTAAATACTTCTGGTATTGCCATTATAAGTACTGTGGTAATGAGAGCCTATTATACTAAGGATAGTAAAATATAGGTACTATGGTAATAGATTCTTTGCTTCACATCGAAACGGAAAAGTACCCTAATATCACCATCCTACTTACATCCTAATATACACTCTTAATATTTTTTATTATTTGCTGCACCTTCCGCTGCAGTTTCATACAATTAGATTTACCAGAATATGAGATAGAATTCCAACTCACTGAAAGAAAGAATACTTATATATTCAACTTCACATTATTTCATTAGTTCTTGTTGAGTTTCCACTAATTATGTTTGTAGAAACACTTGTGGGGATCTTATATTTTTAGATTATGTCATACCCTCATCTACCAAAAGGTACCTCAAGATGGATTCAAGTTAACATGGATTATATACTAGTGAATTGATATTTAATATGTATAGTGGTAGTTACGCCCCATTTCTCCCCTTCCAGATTTTATCTGTGATAGAATTCGATGAACGGATACCACTAGTTAATTCATGCTGTCTATTTATTTTTATCCATTTTGCTCATTATATTTTTTCTTCATAGCATTTCGCTCATAATTTTTTTTCTTCAATATTGTTTATTGACCGGTAGACTTTATTTTTTCTTCACCGGATTTTTTTTCGTTCTTTGAGCAGTATATTTGTAAGCAAATCAACTGTTCAATGTGGACCATCCATCAATGTTGACATGTTCATATCACGTCAGGAGGTCACCAATTAGTTGAATTATAAATCGACTATGTCAACTTTCATCTACCAAAAGGTACCTCAAGATGGATTCAAGTTAACATGTCTTAAATACTAGTGAATTGGTATTTAATACTTATAGTGGTAGTTACGCCACACACTCTATAAAAGAGTATCAATATAAGAAACACTTAGTTTCATATACCTTTTAAAATGCGAATTCGGTACGATCAATCCCATTACTTGTGTAATTTTAACATTGATTTTACTTGTGATAAACTAACATTAGTTACCAAGCACAAGGAACTCATAGGAACGTGCGAGAAAACTAATGTTTGAATGTTTAGAGCTGCAAGCTAATAAACCGTCTAATTATAAAATAGTATTTTATTACATACTATAGAACAATTTTTCTTCTAAATGTTGCGCGCAAGCCAGTGATTAGAGTTAATTTTAACGTAGATAGTTTGGTCCGTCGTGTCGTTGAACGTATATGAGCAATTCTACAAATAAACGCCAGTTAGGCGGCCAAAAAAAAATAAAAGGGGGCACACTATTTCTACATGAATTTTCTTCTTCTTTACACCCTANCCCAAAAAAAAATTTTTTTTTTTTTGGCCGCCTAACTGGCGTTTATTTGTAGAATTGCTCATATACACCAAAGTAGGAATGGATTTGTATAAGGTATATACAGACATGCGTATATACAAAGATTCCGATTTATTTGTGGCTGTTTTCGTTGGCCATTAAGGCAGTGGGGTACGATTGTTCTTGCTTTCCAGTGGTGCCATCTATGGTCAAGAATTTGACTTCTGCCTCACCCGTTTTTAAGTCTGAAACATCCATGCATCCATTCATCCACAGATCGTAATTTTGACCTGAACCATGGAAGGATCAATCTCCACTTCAGTACCTCCAAAGGTATAATTTGTTATTGGAAAATGAAGGACTTTGTGACCCGACAAATTGACCTCGTGTCAGTCACTATTTACTACACGGGAAGTCTTCGGCCGGCTGCATTCGAACACCCGTTCTCATGAACGAGAGTCCAACTCCATGTTAACCAGGCTACCCCGAGTCTTTCGCCTTATTTATGTAAATTAATTCATTTTTGTCCGGCATTCTTAATTTTTTTTTCTTATTTAAAATATCTCACGTTAATATATTGTTTAGAATATTCGTTTTTCGAAACTAAAATTTACATTTTTAATTAGTCCTATAAACCTTAATAATATTTTTTTCTATATTTGAGATAGCACGACATACAAAGCTACATTATAACTTTATAATAAAATTAAAAGTTAACAAAATATTTTTAGATTTTGAGGAAGAAAATTTAGAATAAAAAAACATTAATTTCAAATAATTATCAATCATCTTATTTGAAATAAGTCTGGATCAACAAAAGAAAATTAATTAAAACAACCTTTAATAAATTCTGATGAAATTGAAAAAAAAAAAAACACCCATTATCTTTTAGAAAATAAAATTTTTGTAAAATTAAAAAGGTTTACATAGTTCATTTATTTCCTGACTTCAAAGAATCACTTGAATTTTCAGGTAATTAAGAAAAGTAATTAACAAGATCAAAAGAAATAGCAAACAAGAGCACTCTAGATATCACATTCTCGAAATGGAATTGTTCATGTCAAAAGGAATATTAGAAAAACAAAATGAAAGTAACTCTGAATTAAATTCATTTCTGCACTTTTTCAAAGGCAGTCATTTCATTTATTATTTATCTTTATATATCTAATACAGTAAAAATCTATTATTCTTTCTTATAAATTTAAATTAACGTATACTTAGATATCTTTAACAACCAAATTATTCAAACATCAAAGCAGTTCTTCCCAAACATTAAATTTTCAAATTTTGATTTAACCTAAGTAAGACAAAGTTAATCTTATTTTTTATCGAATAATAGCTTATACAAACAAAGTACCATATGATTTGCTCTAATAAATAAATACTTTCAGTTATGGAGGTTATAGCCAACGCAAAACTACTTAAGTTATAATTTTTGTGAACGCTGCTTTCAAATGAAGCTTTTGAATTAACGTTTTTATTAGTTTTTAGTATGCATTTTATACGTGATAAGATTGAACGAATCCCATAAGAACTATTGTAAGACAAATATAATATTGCTAATAAAGGAAAATATAAATATATAGGAAATATATAATATTTCTGGCAGCAGTATATTGAACAAATTATGAAAAAAGCAACCATTTATAATCGTATTTCATTAGTATTTCCTACCACGTATTCTATTAGTATTTCCTATCGCGTATTCCGTTAGTATTTCCAATCACGTACTCCATTATTATTTCCTATTCTTTAATAAAGAAATATCTTTCCATGATAACCATTTTCAACGTTTATAGCAGTTCTTTTAAGATTTCATCTAGAAGAAAATCATAATTCCGCTTATTTTAATAATTTCAGCTTTTTTATATACGTCAGAAACAAATTCAAAACTGGACTAGATATACCACAAGGACTGCATATTTAACTATCGTATATAAAATCTATTTTAAGATTATTAATGATAAAATTATGAGAAACTTCATTCCTCTAAGAATTTTAAATATAGTCTCTTATAGGTTATAGCTTTCTTATAGGTTATAACTTTCTTATGGGTTATAACTTTCTCAATTACCGTAAATTTTATTTATGAAGTTGGGACTCCGCAGAAAGAAGATTGATTAGTTAGAATCCCGTAGCAAAAAAAAAGGAAGAAAAAAATTAGAGCTCATGCTTTAAGGTACATAAGACATGAATAATGTTAGGAATGGTAGCTATATCTAACATTCGGCATGATTACAAAATATTATTTAAACGAAAATCATAAGTATGTAAGAATACATATTAAAAGGAATGTCTTAAAAGTAGGATTAATTAATAATGTTCATAATATTAAGAAAAAGAGAAAAATCAAACTGAAAAATAATTTATTCCGTTACATGTGAAAACATCGCATTACAAATATGTGATCTTTATCTAACACTAAATTAAGTTAGAGGAATATTTTTAAGACATTATAAATTTCTATATAAAAAAAAGTGATTTTCATTTTTAAAATTTATTATATCATTTAGACTTTTGCCAACATAACGAAATTAAAATTTCGATTTTGCCATGTTTCTCATACATAAAAATATCATTTCATTACAAATACGGTATATTTACGTAATAACACACTTACGAATAAGATATTTAAACAATACAAAAGATTAAATAGAGATTTATAATCATACATAGCATATTTTATATACATAAATAATTTATATTTATTTATAATTGTAAAAATTACAAATATAAATAAATATAAATTATTTATGTATATAAAATATGCTTGATTACAAAATCACATCTTGGTGCACGGAAGATGGATTTGTTTGGTAACATTAAAATACATAATACTTTTAATGCGGTATTTTTATGCAACTCTTCTTTCAGTAATATAATAATGTTCATAAAGATACATAAAGTATTAAATGTTTAAAAAAATATATAAAGATTTAAAAATATACTTTACCAATAAAACGAAAGAGAAATTGACTTGGCATGTTCGTCATGCATAACGATCCCATAATGTTCCTCCCACTAAAGGAAAGCACAAACACTACCACCTTCTCCCTATGCTCAAAACACTAATGCACCTGTTAGTAGTTTCACCCAAATAAGCCCACTTCTGTTTTTTCTTTTTTGAATTGTTGTTTAGTTCTTGAAGGGCCCACGTGCAGATTCACTTGTTGGAATAATACATTGAAGGGGGGCTGGCCTAACGATTCGCGCGTGCTGTTGTTCCCCCACCCTTAATTTTTCCTTCCCCCTTATCCCTTCATCTTGAAGAACTGAAAACGATTTAATGTTTTCTTCCATCTGCCTATTCTTCTTTCTTTAATCAATTCTTTTATTTTTAGTCCCATTGTGTTGTTTTGAATAAAAATTCAAACTTATTTTACTTTCTTCTTTTCTAAGATATATACCTTGTTATTTTATCGCTTGATTGTTATTTTTTATGTTGTCAGTTTTTTGTTTTGTTATTTTTACCACTGCACTTTAAACAGCGAGTAACGTTAACTTTCTCCTCTAAGCGAAATTGGAGGTTGACAGATTTAAGGAAATGCTTCGAATTATTATTTCTGAAAATTGGAAGACTGTCATAAATTTTCGAGAGTTGTTGAGCTATAATATGGTTCAAATTATTTACAACCATCAATATAGTACTAAGGTTAACAATACTTTCAGACTTCTAAAACTAAATTACACTATAACATGGTTCAACTTTGATGAAAACTAATCTTTGCTGAACCATTATATCTTAAATGCGAACCATATATATAGTTCAAGGTACAGATAATTTGGTTCCGCAATGAATCTGTTTTTCTACTTGAGTAGTTATATTAAAGTTATTATCGTAAAATTATAAAATACTAAAGGCTTAGGCTCCCTGTTTGTGGCTGCTCTCTAATTCTGATGATTATCTCTCAATAATTGTTGTTTCTTAGCATGAAATAGTCTTTTCTTCTGTAAAAGTTAAAATCCTCTTCTTCTCATTGGCACGACAGCCCAGGATGGGCCTTGGCCTTCTCAACAAGACTATGCCAAGACATTCTTCCCTAAGTCTAGGTTCTCCAGTTTATTATCCTTAAAACGTGTAGGTTCTTTTCAAGGCAGTCTAAAAATCTTAGGTTTGGCCGTCTTCTTTTTCTTGTACCTGTTGGCCTGACACTGAAAACGTTTTTGGTAGTCCTGCTATCCTCCTTTCTTATAATGTGGCCTGCCCATTAAATCCTTTGAATTTTGATAAATTTAATGACATCAGGTTCTTTATATGCTTTGTAAAGTTCCGTATTTGATCTTCTAAAATAGGTACTGCTTTTACTTTTTCCACCAAAAGTGCTTCGCAGTATTTTTCTATCAAATCTAGCTATCATATTTTCATCTCCACGGGTCATTGTCCAGGTCTCACATGTGTATGTAAGCACTGATCGTATAAGACCTTTATAGAGTAACATTTTTGTTTTTCTTTTTATTAGGCTTGACTTAAGATATTTTCTTAGACCATAAAAACACTTATTGGCCAACGTGATTCTCGTGTGTATTTCTTGTGCAGTGTCGTTTTTGTTGCTAATCTCAGACTCTAAATAGGTGAAGCTATAAGTTAAAATTATTCAGTTGAAATATATGCACTAAAAAGAGTTGTGTTTGATTGCACCTGTGCCACCCCTTCCTACAAGTAAATTACATAAAACATATAAATTAAACGTTTAATTTGAGTGAAATCTAATCGATAACTAGTAAGAAAGATCTTTATTTCCTTTATGATTTCTAATAACATCTGTTAGTAAACAAGAAATAATAATCTCTTTTAGCTATCGATAAGTTCGAATATGATTTAACGAATATCTATCTAACAGTATATTATAATTTTCACTAAAAATTAATAAATATAGATTATTTAATAGTTTTAGACATCGATTCAAATAAATTTATCTTAAAATATATCGTAATAAGGTAATATCCTAGAATAACTTCATAACAAAGAAACAGAAATTTTGATTTTTAACTGATAATTTAGAAAACAATCAAAATCAAAACCGTAATAGCAGCAGAGTAAAATAAGAAAAATAAATATTAATGGTAAGTACCTTAAAATTCGGGATACAAGAATATTTTACTGGAAAACAATATATTTAGGACGCAACAATTTTATGATGGTGACAATAAAAAATAAGGAAATTAATGTGGGAAAAACTACATCATTCCATGTGATTTTCTGGCCAATAAAAATGCACCAATGGAATAACAATAATGGAAAACTGTGAGGCCAGCATTAGATTTCTATATATAGTTAGAAATATGGTTCACATTTAATTTGTACGCATAAAGAGAGATCCACAATTTAAAATTAACGCACTAAATCTTTATATTTTATAGTTTTATTCTCTAACAAATGAAATTAATTACCAAATATAGTTGGATTATTTACAATTTAGATTATTTATTAATTAGATTATCTACAATTTAGTTACATTATTCATCTACATTACTTTAGCATTAGGGGACCATCAAAAGGCAATTTCACGTTTAAACAAACATTTTAAAGTAATTACTCCCTCAACAGTCTATTGAAGGTTAATGATGGTTAATCCATGATTTCGTGACCAACAGTGTGATCAACGGTATGTTAAATAATAACCTATTACTTTCCGTTGTAATTTTCATTAAGTACTCATTGTACAAAGCACATTAAAAAGACGAATAAGCCAGAATAACGTTTGATATTTGATCTAATAATCGGATTTCCACGTACAAAGATTCAATCTTAATGGTTCGAAAGGGTTAACCTCACATATACGATGGTCAGTTAGTGCAGACGATATTTTAAGTTACGAAATTACGCATAAAAACGTACTTTCTTTGAATAAACACGCTTTTTTTCTGTTACAGATTTGGATTTCAGACCCTTAAAATCTTGAAGGTAACCGCTATCTGGAAAATCCCAGTAGTTTCGCCAGGAAAGAGGTTCATAGTGTTAGTTTTATATTTTGCTCATTTCGCCATCACTCGAAAAAGGTTTAAGAAAGTCGAAAAAGAATTGCATGCAATAATTAATAATTTTATCCAAAGCTAATCCCATGCAGTAAACAATTTGTAATAACAATTCATAATTTTATTTAATGATAATCGAAAAATTTTGAATTGAAAGATATAAAAATTTTTACATCATTTTAAAGTTATAAATTTTACATGGCAAAATACAAAATTAACGAACTTGGTAGAATAGCTTTGGAGAAATCGTATTTTTTTTTTTTAAAAAAAAGTCATTCGTTGCAAAGCTAATAATTAAGCATAACAACTTGATATCTTTTGTACTACACCAGCCTGCTTACATAATTTTCTAGCTGCCTTGAAAAATTATGTTTTGATCGCTAAACTTGGCATTTTTTTTTAAATTAAAAATAGTATTTAATAAGAATAAACTAACTTTTAACCTTATTACTTATTTCAAATGTATGTTAATATTCTTCTCTTGGATTTTCAACGATTAACTGTAAGTTTACAATTATTATTGCTTTATTACAATTTTATTAATAAAATTTTTTTATATGTTATTATTAAAATTATTTTGAATTTTTTTTCCTACATTTGCCACTAATATTGGTTCTAGGTTTAAAATTATTGAATAACTATCTCTTATTAAATTCAAAAATATAAATATAAGTAATAGAAAAACCGTTTTTCCACTTTCGAAAAACAACTGTATATATANACCAGCGAGAAACTCTCGCACTTTCAATGGTATATGATTTCAACTATCCGTAAACACAATAAAGAATTGCAAATTAATAAGCCTTTTTTAAAAAAAAATCTAATTACGAACGTTTTTTCAACATCCGATGCACTGATCCGCTTTTTTTGTTCTATCTATGAATTAACTCGTTATAACGTGATTCATGAATCGTTAAAAGATATCATTTTGCAAACTAAGGATAAACGAATGGCCGTCATAGTAAAGTGAGATATGACGCTCGTTTATAATTATTCTCTAACATCTCCTACTGAAATACATCGGCAAAAAATGCAGTCCTAGACAAGTCAACTCTCCTCTAATAAAATGGTAAGTTTATTTGAATTTTTTTGGCACAGTCATAGGCGTAGCGTGAAGAAATAAAACAAAACAAAAAACATTTTTTTTTGAGGAGGAGAGGCATGTGCCATGCAGCCGACGCAACGTCTATTGGTATATTTATAATGGGTATCGTATTATTATGGGTATCAACATATTTTTGAGCCGTGGTAACTCAAGGGATAGATTCATATATATATATATATATATATATATATATATATGTACTGCGAAAGCTGGAAGCTAAGCCATCTGATAAGGAATACGAATTCATATTTTGTTCCATAATTGGATGCCTACTACAATAGTGGATGCCTAATAATCTTATGGTTATATGTGCGTGGGGGACAACATTTAGCTCCTTGCAGCTGGGCACATACTTTAACAGAGAGTTTTAATTTCTCAAACTCATAATCGGCAGAACTAGAGTTCAAATGCCAGCGTTGATACCACAATGTTCCATCCATTCTTTAAGAACATGAAGAATTTCCAGTGTCCTCAATTGGTGACTTTGGACTATTGGAGTACTACCCTTTCTTTCACACAATACTGCAAGCATGATAAATTATTCCACTAGATAATGTAATTACGCAGCATTATAAGGTTTGCTTGAAGAAAAAAAAACTCATCCATAACCCAACTCCAATGCTCAGTTAAATTTTTTTATGGTTTTGAACCATGCTATTTTCAAATGATTACTGAACCACATAGTTCTTTATTCACGGGTTTTTAACCAGAACAGGTTTAAACTGTTTCAAGCCCGTTCCCAACCGTAAGTTTCAAAGGTGAATTTGATAGACAGATTGCTGTCGATTTTTCGATATGGAATGCTCTCTGAAATTGTGAATCGTTAAGTTCTTCTATACTCTTATACCAAGATATTTCTCGCAAATCCTATCAATGACATTGGAATATGACTTTAGAACAATGTAACATTTCGCTGTTTCAGGTAAAACAGCATATCACAGTCATAAACAAAAATTGCTCTAAATTGAAATCTCTAAGCTTGGTATTACCAATACTGATTAAAGCACACGAAATACGCTGAATTGTTATAGTTGTTATGTGACAAAATTTGAATTTCAATGCGTTTTCAATA